AATAGAATAGAATATAGAATAGAATAGAAAATAGAATAGAATAGAGTAGAATAGAAAATAGAATAGAAAATAGAATAGAATAGAATAGAATAGAATAGAATAGAATAGAATAGAATAGAATAGAATAGAATAGAATTCTTTATTGGCCAAGTGTGATTGGATACATAAGGAATTTGTCTTTGGTGCAAATGCTTTCAGTGTACATAAAAGAAAAGATACATTTGTCAAGAATCATCAGGTATAACACTTAATAATAGTTCTAGGGTACAATAATATCCCAAAACTCAATACAAGCATAAGAATTCTTGTGTCTCTCACATTTTTTAATGAAACCCTATAGCTGTTTACATCATTTCCTCCATACCCCAGATATGTCAGCTGTGGCCTTGGGCTCTAAGAACTGTCCTTACTTGAATACAGGTGCTACATAAAAGTGCTATATAAATTACTATTTAATAAATGTAGAATGTGAATAAATTAATAATTACCTTGCTTCCTGCAGCTGTCAGCCAGATGCTTCCATGAAGAAGGCTATTATATCCTTACCAGAGGGGACATTTCACTCATACTTGGTTTTATTTAGGGTTTCATCTTTGTGTTTGCAACTGGTTGGTTGATTGATTGGTTTGTGATATTGTTCTAATGCAACTCTTTTATGGAATTTTCTTTCTGTTGAAAAATATGTTGCCCAGAGACTTTAGATTTAGGGCAAGGATAAGCAGGCTTCTGCAAATAATTTAACAGATTAACACAGTTGGCAGGGACTATGTAGGTCATCTAGTCCAACCCCCGCCCAAGCAGACCCTACACCATCTTGACAGATGACAGTCCAGTCTCTTCTTGAAAGCTTCCAGTGATGAAGCTCCTACAACTTCTGAAGGCAACCTCTGTTTCATTGGTTGATTGTTCTCACTATCAGAAAATTTCTCCTTATTTCTAGGTTGGATCTCTCCTTGTTCAGTTTCCATCCATTATTCCTTGTCTGACCTTCAGGTGCTTTGGAAAACAGCTTGACCCCCCTCCTCTCTATGGCATCCCCTGAAATCCTGGAGTATTGCTATCATGTTTCCCCTGGTCCTTCTCTTCACTAGACTAGCCATGCCCAGTTCATCGTATGTTTTAGCCTCCAGTCCCCTAATCAAAAGTTAATACCTCCCTAGGTTAGCTCATCACTGTTAATGCACCTTCGTTAATGCACTGGATTTTTTGGCTGCCACCCCACACTCTTATCTTATATTTAATTGGTTGTCCACTAAGACTCCAAGATCCCTCTCACAGTTATTGCTATTGAGCCTGGTTTCACCCAGTCTATATGTGTACTTTCGGTTTTTATTGCCTAAGTGTAAGACTTTACTTTTCTCTACATTGAATTTCATTTTGTTAGATAGGGTCCAGTAATCAAGTCTGTCAAACTCCATCGGGATCTTGAGCCTATCAATCTAGGGTGTTAGCTATTCCTGCCAGTTTAGTATCATCTGCAAATTTGGTATATTAAATAGATAAATATTTTTTGCTGCTGAGGCTCAAGATTCTTTGTCCGAAAGTAGATCTTACAATGCTTCAAACTAGATAGAAACTAAAAAGGATTGTCCATTTGTTCATAGCATTATTTATTTGCGACAGATTGATGAGCTTTGTAATTGTAATAATGTGTTTGACGTCAATTAGCATCCGTGTGAATAACAACAGAAATTACAACCTGGAAGTAGCTTCGGATACAGTATACAAATAGAAGAATAAGAAACCATGGAAACTTAGAAAGAAGCAGATGGCATTTCCAAGGCAATATTATCTTCTTGATATTTGTATTGATAACTGAGTGAGGGGGGGGGGGGGGTTGCAGCAATTTTTTCCATCTTCTTGACTGACTTTATAGTTTCTCGATTAAGCTTCAATGGAAACAAGTTTCTGTCTACACCTTTTCCAGTAACCAGGAGAATGGTGAATTCCCTGATCCAAATGATCCCAATCAGAGAAGAAACACCTGTTGGGAGGGATCCCAGGTGCTCTCTGAGCTTGTTTTCTTGCAGACGTTTCATTACCCTAACTAGGTAACATCATCAGTGCTAGTCTTGCAAGAAAACAAGAAAGCTCAGAGAGCACCAAGGACCCTCATTTCAATCCTGAGCTACAAAATATTCTCCTTTGTAAGAAACCCCTGGTCTTTGATTTTGACCAGTTCAAATGTTCTCCCTCAAAATAATCATCAAACCCTGAGTGTTAGCATTCCAGCAAACCTCCATTCCAATCAGTAACTTCAAGACAAGCGTCATCTCAAAAGTACCTTTATTAGAATAGCACCTGGCACATCTGCAAAATCTCGAAACTAAAAGTTTCCCACAATGTCCCAAACGACAATCCATCCCCTTTTCTCCCATCATCACATCCCATGGACCAATCATGATCTGTCTCAGTGTAAGATCCATTTTCTCTGCTGCGCCACACTTCATAACCTTGAACTAAGAAAAGAATTTTATTTTGTCTACTACCCGATTGAAATCATTCCCCTCCCGGTTTCTCAAGTTATATGGCAGCATTGAATAAGGTTTCCAAAGCTGACACTGAAACTCTGCTCTCTGCAACCGTCTCCTGCCCACAAAAGTATGGTTAGATGAGGATATTAACATAATGATGATATTAATCATTGTACAATAATAAAGATAAGCTAGAGTTTGAAATAAATCTATCAAAGTACAGTCACTTTTCCCCATCATGTTGTTGAAATTTGCACACAGTGCCAATGTCTGCATCTTCATCTTGATATCTATGGAGATTCTTAGTCATCCAGGTCATGGTTGTCCCAAAGGTGGTTTTTAAAGAGGCAACTGGCTCTCTGGTTTTTCTTTGAAGATGTTTCTCTTTACATCCATGAAGCTTCTTCAGTTCTGACTGGATGGTGGGGAATGGAAGGATTTATACTCCTTGCAGACAGCTAGTCATTTGCATCCTTTTAGAGGGTCCTTGAGGCCACTTGGAGGTTTATCTGTGTTCTCAGCTCATACTTGTCAACAAAATGATACAAAGCCCATTAAACCAGCTATGGGGTCACTAAACATTGACACCGATTTGATGGCACATCATTAAGCCTCATATCTTCTCTCGTTTGTGCTTACCAAAATTAACAGGGTAAATTTCAATATAAGAAAGAAAGAAAGCTTTTAAAAAGTATATAAAAGTTTGCAAAGGTTTAGAGTGTTAAAACAATTGGGTGTGGTTGTTTTTCAAATACTCATTCAGATGTTGAATTCCATAAAATGGTGACCTCTCTGTTTCTTTATTTTCTTTTAACAGCTTAAAGCACATGCCGTAGATATGAATGGAAACAAAGTGGAGAATCCAATTGATCTCTACATTTATGTGATCGACATGAATGACAACAGGCCAGAATTCATAAACCAAGTCTATAACGGATCTGTTGATGAAGGATCTAAACCAGGTATGCCTTAATGTCTCATAAAACTATTTTTAGATAATAGACTTAGCTTGGTCTCTTGATTCGTTATTTAAGAAATCTGGATTGTCTTAGTTTAAAATATTAGGGAAACAAGATGAAGTTTGAAATTCCATAGCAGAGAAAATACACTTTTAGCCTGTATCACTGTTGCTCCTGTTAGATCAGAAAATGGAGAAGACCTTATACATTCAATTTTGCAGCTACTAAGATTGTTGGACGAGCAGGCACAAAAACAGCCAGGAAAGTGATTGCAGCCTGGGAAAGAGGTTCCTTGTTAGTCAATGGGAGTACTTAGAAGGTGAGGGCTGGGCAGCACAAGCAAATGACAGCCAATGACTTCAATGAAGCCAGCCATCAACACACCCCAACCAACTTCTAAAAAGCCACATACAATAGGCACCATATCAATACCACACAGAAAAAGCACACATTCTGCTAGAGGGAAGCTCCCTGAAGATGGGCTCCAGCATGAGTCCAAAAGCTTGGAAGACAAAACCTCTGGTCCGAGTGACTGATCCAGGTTGGATCCTGCCATGGAAAAGAGGAATCAAATATTTTTACTTGATGTCCATAGAAGGCAATATGGAAGGATGAGGGTTGATTTCTTCAGTATTGTGCAGTCTTGTCCTATCTGAGTGGCTAGGAGCATCCAGTTTAGGCCATCAGGGATGCAAGCCTGTGTCAGGTTCAAACCCAAAGACAACACAGCAAAATCAAGTCCAGTTTTTTACTTGCAGTGATGAGGTCACCTAGTTTGGGTAATGAAACATCTGCAAGAAAACAGCCAGAGAGTGTGAAGAACTCCTCAGTTTTTTTCATTTGCTAATTAAAAATTAGACATCCTAATAGACAGAATCTTTCCAGACTAAAGCTATAACTTTCTAATCTAATTGATACACCCTGGGAGATTTTACCCTGAACCTCTTCCTCCATTTCCCATCCAGTTCAGGACTAGGCAGTCCCTTACTTTTGACTTCTCTCTATATTGTATGGACTCTTCCTGGGAAACTGTGATCCATATGTTTGTTTGTTTATTCATTGCATTTATACACTGCCCCTCTCACCGATAAGGTGACTCTTAGAAGCTTACAAAGAGTAAAAATATAGAAAATTAAAAATTTAAATGCTATATGGGGGGTGAGATGTTCTTCTTACTGCCACCAGCCCACCTCCAGTGGACAGCGCCCCCCTCAGGGCTGCAAGTCAAGCAGGAAAACTATACTTTGATACTGTTGGAAGAAATGTCCATCTGGGTTCAGTTCCAAGTGGGAAGAAAGACACTGGAAACATGGAAGCTGATTGGAAAGTTGGTTTAATGGTGGACAGGACCATATGGTTTGAAGTCCTGGGTAGCTGACCACATGGAGTGGAGATTGAGATGTATTTATAGTACCCACTCTTGGGCTTTGAACTTGCTTCCTGTTCCTGTATTCTAATTGGTTGTTAGACTCCCATGGGGCCATGCAGGGGTAATTTTGTAGGTTGTCTTGAGTCCCAGGCTTGGTTGAATCTTGCTGGGTGATGTAATCTTCCCAGATGCCATGTGGTGAGGTAGGTAGAGGGCTAATCCTATTATGTCCTGAGGGTGAAGGTCTTTTGTCTTGTAGATAGGATGGCCCAGTCTTTCTGGGGCTATTGATAAAGGTGAGGGCTGCTTTCCAAGAGCATGTTTCTCCTTTTCTCATCCAGGGAGGTATAATATTCTGCCTTTTTAATATTTCCTAGAATATTTCATTCTTCCAGGAGAAGGGTGGGTGCTAACTTTTTACAATACCCTTCAAGAAGGCCAGAAGAATCAGAGAAGTTCTCACTTCCAGTTCTAGAATGTTCCACAGGGCCATGGTCACAGTGGAAAAAGCTTTTCTCCATATACCCCATCCACTGGAATTTCTTGGCCATTGGTATCTGCAGCAGGTCTCTTTCCCTGGAGTGAATTGAGTGGGTTAGTCCTATTGGGGCTAAGTGGCTTCTCATATAGGAATGAATGAATGAATGAATGAATGAA